TGTCCATGCTCATCTCTGAATGCATTACGGTTATAAATGTCTGAAAAATTCATATCTCCACATGTAAATCTCTGCTTTACATTTTGGTCGCTTATCAAGCCTGATGTCTTTTACAGTCGGGTGTATTTCATTCTTAATGATTTCAATCTAAAACTAAACCTGTACCCCATGTTGCTTGTGTATGAACAATGAGATCCTGATGATAAAATGAGCAAAACGTAAGTTTGTGTTGGATCGTCGTAAACACTGAAGACAGTGTGGTAAGCCATGTCTGAATAATTGAAATCTCCAACATTCAACCTATCCTACTATATTGGTTGCTTGTGAACATTGCATATACAAATCAGGCACCCATTTACAGTCAAATAATGATCCATTAATACTCGTGCATGATTCGTATTGGGCGAGCCCCTATTGAGCGCACACCATGCGCTGGAAGAGTATGTGCCCTTGAAAACCTTAAGAGGATACGCGGAGAAGAAAACAGATACCGTCGTGGTACCATCAGTTGGTTACAACTTTGATTCATTGAGAGAAGCATATGACTTCTACAATCTATATTCGTGGGAGATCGGGTTTGGGATAAGATATGGAAAAAGTAGGCTGAACGTCGAGAGAACCAAATGTATACAAGAAATAGTCTGTGGATGCTCGGTGAGTTGAAAGTAAAATCATTACCCAAAATGTTGTATATGTTTTCTCGAAACGTAATATAACATTTGGCAATGGATTCATATTTTCAGGGCAAACCAAAAAAAGGAAACGCATGGACATGCCAATGCGAGTGCCCTGCAATGATACGTTTGCTTCGATCAAATGACAATGACTGGTACGTAAGTGAGCATAGACCATCCCACAACCATGCTTTGACAGATAAATGTGGTGAAAAGGTGTACTGGCCTTCACATAAACATATATATCTGTATACAAGAGACCTTGTCAAACAGCTCAGGGAGAACAATATCAGCATTGGAAAATTTACAACATAATTGGTAGTTTCTTCGGCTCAATGAATAATGTGCCTTTCACCAATAGGGCTTTGAGGGGTCTATGTGGTGAAATCAGCCAAGATCAAGCAGACGATGATGTTCGGAAAACTATGGATGTCTTTGCAGAATTGGGTTCAAAGGATTCTGGTTTATACTACAGAGTACAACCAGACAGTGATAGTCAGATAAGGAATTTACTGTGGTCAACTGGTGCAAACAGAATGCAGTACCATTATTTCAGAGATGCATTAACATTTGACACAACATACCATACAAACCTCTATGATATGCCATTTGGGCTGTTTGTTGGAGTTAACAACCACTTTCAGAGCATTATCTTCGGTGGTGTGCTTGTTAGGGATGAGACAGCTGAAACTTTCAAGTGCGTGTTCAACGAATTCATCCGCATGATGGGCGACAAACATCCTCAGACCATTCTTACAGGTGATAATCTCAATTCCCATAATATTTGTTGTCTGCACAACTTGAAACACATAGAAACCCACATGCATAGTTGGGCCTAGGATGTAATCCATTTGATTTCACTAAGAATTGAATGTTTTCCACAACTACAGCAGCACTAATACACCCAGTCTTGGACTTTGAGCCTAATTTTCTATTTCTAAAACACTTAATTAGCCCAGTCTTGGACTTGAGCCTAATCTACTACTCCTCCGTTCATAAATGTAAGTCTTTTTAGAGATTGTAATATGGACTACATACGGAGCAAAATGAGTGAATCTATACTCTAAAATACATCTATATTCATCCGTATGTAGTTCATATTCAAATCTCTAAGAGGAGTATATTTAGGAATGGAGAGAGTATTTCTTGGTATAGTTCGCTGTATATCCTAGTACTGGGATGCTAAATGTACAACGGCACCCCCATTGCCAACGTGACTTGGCCTCAACTGAAGGGATCAGCATGGGAATTTGCTTGATAGTTAGAGGGACTAAAAGTTGTTTGGCGCGGATCAAGGTACTGCAAAAACAAAACTAGTACTCAGCAGAAAAACAATAGTCCGTAAACAAATCTGCCGAACAAACAGAAATTTACATGCAAAGCAAAGCGGCGATGGTGCGGACGGGCTCGCGCGCTGGGCCAAAAGGTATAGCACTACGACATTGAGTATCTAGTTCAAGAATGGTTTCATTTCGAATTGCTAAGATTTTCTTACATTATTTGAATCATACTGAGAATTCCAGTTGGAAAATGTCCATGGCATATACTCATTGAAACATACTTCCGCATGATGCAGAGTCCGTGTTGGCGGTGCACCTGACGATCGGCCCCATGTGCTGCGATGATGAGTGCATTGGAGGTATATTACAAATATATGCATGAAAAAAAACTGAAATTGTCATAGTTCCTGTTGTGGGAATCAACTTTGATACATTGGGAGAAGCATATGATTATTACAATCTCTACTCGTGGGAGATTGGGTTTGGAGCAAGATATGGCAAAAGCCGGCTAAATGTTGAAAGGACAAAATGCATGCAGGAAATAGTTTGTGGCTACTTTGTAAGTACTTGTTTCATTTCAGTAACTCATCCCCTACCTAGGTGACGAGACACATATGGCACACACACAAAAGATAATAACTCTCCATTACTTGCTCTGCCGATTTGCAGATGCCCCGCGATGATACGGTTGCTTCCAACAACTGACAATGGCTGGTATATAAACGAGTTCAGAGCTGATCACAACCATGCTCTCACAGAAAAATGTGGTGAGAAAGTTTACTGGCCTTCACACAAGCATATCGATATACACACGCGATGTTATT